AGCAACTCCTTGTGGTGCACTCAGCTAGGCAGCTGGAGAGTGTCAGGCCACCAGTGAAGGCTTGAGGGTTGACTATGGGGCTGGAGCGACAGCTACAGAGCTCTTGCAGAAAACTGGCAGCAGTGTAGCAGCCTTTAGTACGCTGCTGATCAGCTGGCCAGGCGTGCAGGAGTTATAGGAGATGGGAGGAAGCCAGCTAAGGACTGAAGGCAAGTGTCATATCAGCAGTGACATCACCTGCATCTCTTTGTGGGAGGGGGTGGTCCATCCCCTCCTCAAGAAGCCATCCTTGAAACCAGCAGTACTGAACAATTTTCATCTAGTCTCTAACCGTCCCTTTCTGGGGAAGGTGGTTGAGAGGGTGATAGGCTTGCAGCTCCAAAAGGCTCTGGAGGAAATGGATTATCTGGACCCATTGCAGTCTGATTTTAGGCCAGGCTATAGTACTGAGGAGACATTGATTGAGTTTGTGGATGACTTCTGGAGGGGGAGGTCCAGGATAGGGGTGGTGCATCTATCCTGGCCCTCCTTGATCTCTCAATGGCTTTTAGTTAACTCAATCATGATATCCTTCTGGACTGACTGAGGGGTTGGAAGTGGGAGACATGATTCTCTAGTGAGTCTCTTCCTTCCAAGGTCAGTTCCAGTTGGTGATAGTGTCAGCCTTATGAAGTAGACCTGTTCAAGAAATCAACTCCATGCAAAGACTAGAACTGTACTATATTGAGATAGACCATAGAATAAAATCTTCCAAGTCTATGTATGTTTTTCCTTCCTTCCCTCAGCAGAGAATCTGTCTGAGTCTTTCTCATACTCTCCCATTCCCCTGAGCTTAAGATAGCCCTCAGCCTCTGCTTTGTGGGGTGCCACGGGGCTTGATTCTTTCCTGCTTCTATTTAACATCTGCATGAAACTGCTGGGCAAGGACATCTATCGCAGAGGCTTAAGTATCATCAGTATGCTGATGATGCTGAGTTGTACATCTCTGCCCCAGGCTGCCCAAATGCTGCTGTTGAGGTGCTTTCCCAGTGCCTTGGAGGCTGAGCAGGTCTGCATAGGGAGGAAATGGCTTCAGCTCAACCTTGACAAGACTGAGTGACTGTGATTTTGGGAATCAGTTGCACCCATTCCTAGAATGGGAGATATTTCTCATGGTCATTCATGCCTTAGTCACCTCCAGTATGGACTATTGCAACACACTGTACATGGGGTTGCCCTTGAAAAACATTAGGAAGCTTCAGCTGGTCCAGAATGCTGTGACATGGGCAGTCCTGGATGCTCCACAATACACCCATATGATGTTGCTGTTTTGTGAGCTGCACTAACTTTTAGTAGGCTTCTGGATGCAATTCAGGGTCTTGGTTGTCATCTTTAAAGCCCTACATGACATGGGGCCAAGTTACTTGTGGGACTGCCTCCCCAAATATTTCTGCCTGCTGGTGAAGCAGTGTCACTTGGGGGGTCCTCAGAAGAGTGCCTTCTTTCTCATGACACCTGTCTTGTGGATCATCCTCCCCCTTGAGATATGGACAACCTCAGCCCTGCTGGCCTTCCACAAGGTTGTGAAGACCTGGTTATCCCCCCAGGCCTTGGAGTCAAGGTGCTCATAAGAGTTCTGATATGGGTGAGGTGTATTTGTTTGTAAGATCATTACCTTTTATGCTTTGGATTGTGTTTTTGTTTCATTTTGAGCTACTTGCCACCGAGAGTGCCTTTGGTAGATGGGCTGCCATATAAATATGTTCAATAAATAATACTGTTTGCTAGGCATTTTTGTTTATATTTGTATGTTGAGCTTTTGGGGGGAATAAATCATTTCATGAAATAATTTGAGGAGAGATTGGACTGCCTGATTTCAGGGCTAATGCTAACAGTGCAGCAGTTTACAATAAAAAGGAGATTTGGGACAGTTGAATTTGGGAGCTGGTTTCCATAGAAGCAGCTTGAAACAGTATGTTTCTATTAGTGAAATCCACAATTAACTGAAGGCAAACATGTGGGAACCCTTTATGTTTCTGTTCTGTTGATGACTGTTTTATGTTACTTAGCACTTCTTTAAAAATTCTGTTTATTTCAGCAGTTGGAAACTGTGACTGATTTTAATTTTTTAAAATGAATCAGATTTAGGCTTTAGGTCTATCAGAGTATATATTAACAATTGTTCATCTCTATAATGCCCAGGTTTCTTGTTTGCTTCAACTGCTTTGGTTGCCCCCTTGGAATTTGTTCATGAGGAATACCTGGTAACTTCAACAAAGTTTAGCTAGACCCACATTGTAGCATGTGATATTAATTTGAGAAGGGGGTCTTAAAGACAAACTCCTAACTATTTTAAGTTAATGTGACACACGTACAGGGTGGGCAGAAGACAGATTGGATTTGCTAAGTGATCGCTTGATGGTTTATACTAGATTGAATGATTTCTTGAGTGCCAATTAAAAAAAAACCTGGAAGGTCTGGAGCTGACATGGCAGAAAACAAGGAGTCTAAGACCAGACAATATCATTTTGTAAACATATGCCAGATGTAACCAACTGGCCAGCATAAGAAGCAGGCTTGAAACAATCTGTTACTAAAGGGTAGGGAAAAGAATCTCAGGATTTAAGATATTGTATATCTGATTCTTTGCCTTTGTAAAAGCTAATGCTCTAACTAAGGTTGGTTCTATCTGCAGTGAAGCATCTTATCTATGCAACCATCCTGGACTTCCCACAAGAGCACCTAATTCCTAGAGAAGGAATTATTACAGTTTTCTGGGAGCAACCCTTCATAATTATAATTTCTTCTCCCACTATGGTGCTGAAAAGAAAAGGCTTAGAATAATGAGGCAAAATAATGGTGCAATGAGATTTTTCTTCTCCCTCTATAATTCTTGTGCTTCCAGAGAGTTGCCCCAGCTCTTTAGGACAGATTTTGATGGAGGGGGAGTCTTAAGAGGGCAAGGATATAGTTTACTACTGTTCTGCAGCAGAATGATTTAGTGAGATTCTGTATGTACCAGATTGGCTCAGCCAATATAGCAGCAGGTTGGTGGTCTCAAACCTCTCCCAGAAGTCCTCTGAATCTTCACCCCCTGTTCTGGCTTTGTCTTAGTCAGTACCACCTATCAGTGCCCTTTCTGACATCCTTCCCCTAATCCTGATGTATGTGAAAGATATGGCTCTCACAACCTGTGCTGTCCATTTGGCAATTAAAAGGTAAAAATGAAAAAAAATGCTGTAATGCAAACTCCTGGCAAGTGACAGAGGATTTAGCCCTTCCTTGGTAGATATACTAATTTCACAAGACATAAGCAAAATCAAACTTTTGAAATACGGAAATCCCTGTTTACATAGTCAAATGCAAATAGGATGAGTAAAGAGAAACTACAAAAAAATAATGTAATGCTCTGGACAGATCACGATGATACTTGTAGTGGGCTGTGAGAATAACCTTGAGGAAGAGGAGGAAGAGCTGCAGCCAAGGCAACAATCAGATAAGAGAAATCTCAGCCCAAAGCAGGAATAGAATTTGAGAAAGGGTCTTGGACTGGACCCTCCTCTTTAGAATAAAGGCGGGAGGGGAGGCACATTCAGAGTTGCAAGATTCTGTTACTGTAACCTTATAATAAAAATAGTTTTAGTATTCATGACTTTGGTGTTCAAGTCTGGTCTACCTTGAAGGGCTGACAATACTGGTTTGCTACAAATTCTTTCCTAAGGCACTGAAGCAGGATGCAAATTATCCCAGAAAAAATATATTTTAATATAATTAATATCCTTGTACATGTCTGAGATTTGATGTAAGTTGGACATAAAACTCAGATTCATAATTTGGAGAGAAAGGAGAAAATCAGCACCACAGAGGAAAACAAATCAACAATATAATATGGAATTCTGCTAATTTTTGTTACCTATGCCTACAGGAATAAGCTACTCTTATCTGCTTCAAATTACCTGGCCTTTCTTCAGATTCCTGGAGATTCCAAAACAGAATCAGAAATTGGGGAGAACAAGTATTAGTTATCGGCTTTTCCCAACCCGAGGTCACAGCTTCTCCTCTTGTTTTTCATCCTTTTAAAACTATGTATGGGAAGAAAGTATCTGATGCTCTGTGAACATGACAAAGCATATATCTCCTTTGTGAAGATATAGATTGTATTTGAGATGAGGGAATGTATATTCTGTGTCTGAGCTTGCAGCTTGTGCCACCTACAGCCACACCACCACCCACAGTTGAGGATGTTACAAGGCTTTGAAATCTGTGGAGTTATGGGGGGGGGAAGGATATAATATATGCTAAAGTCTGCTCCTTAGTGTATCAAATTGGCTACATATTCATGTACATTTGATAATAAGTAAAGGTGATTTGCTGTTTAATTTGTGAATCACCCACCATTGCTTGCTGTTTGTTGCAAACTTTTTTCATACCTTAAATAATGAATACATGCTTTAAAAAGATAAATAATATATATTTTTGTCAGGGTCTCTTTAAGTCTGACTAGAAGCATTAAAAGAAATTAATTTTAATAAAATGCAGAGGTATAGGATGTTATTGAGCTTTGAGGAATGTTCTTTGCAAGTTGCATTTTGTTTTATTAAACGCTCATTTTTGAGATTTTTTGGTGGCTTAAAATAAATGTTGAAAGAGTTTTGTTCATAGTACTTAAGGTAATCCTGTCTCCTTATTGTAGCCCAAATAATAAAAGTTACAACAACAGCGACGAATAAACAAAAGGTTCAACAAACTCCATAGCAGAAAGACATGGCTTCAGTAGATCTTTTTGATGGAATTTCTCTCTGGCAGTATTGGCTGTTGCTATAATGATTAATGTTCAAGGACCTTAGTGACATCAGATATAAATGTAAAGTCTAGACATTCTCTCATAAAATAATAGATAAAATAAATGTGCATGTTGCTAGTGTCATACTTTAATTATATTAAATATTCTGGGACAACAGAGTGATTCAAACTTAAGTTGAATCCCTAATGAAATTGATTTCTTCCTGCTTTTTGTCCAGGACAGCCAGTAGAGGTGACTTCGTATTTTCTGCTGATCGCTTGGTAAGCAATATTTTTCATGCACTTTATGTTGTGTTCATTAATGAAGGTATTATTACCATAATGACTCCATCTTTATACTTGTAGATTATTTAAAAATCAGTTATTAATACTATTAATGGTAGTATAGTTGCATTATTATGTTGCATTTTCATATTGTAATGCAGTTATTTCATCAAAGATTAGTGGGATTACTTAATATAAAATTAGAATTAAAGTTTAAATACTATTTTTTTAAAAGCAGAAGTTTCTTTTTCCCAGTGTCAAGATTTATTTACTTGTTTTTGCCAAGCAAAATGTTTCCACATAATTTTGTTGTTCAGTCGTTAAGTCGTGTCCGACTCTTCGTGACCCCATGAACCATATTGCGCCAGGCCTTCCTGTCCTTCACTGCCTCCCTGAGTTTGCTCAGTTTCATGCTCATTGCTTCAGTGATGCTATCTAACCATCTCATCCTCTGCCGTCCTCTTTCAATCTTTCCCAGCATCTTTTCCAAAGAGTCCTCTCTTTGCATTAGCTGACCAAAGTATCTGAGCTTGAGCTTCATTATCAATCCTTCCAATGA